GAACATTCTTTCCTTTTGTCAGAGGAATGTGTTTAAATAGATAATAATGCCAAGTTCATTCATCAGTGGAAATGTTCTCTTTTAACTGTAATCTTCTTTGAAAGTGGCAATTTAGGGAGACATATATAGCAAAGGCCATTACATAAGGCCACATGGTGGCTGACTCTTACATTTTAAAATGTGCAGACAGTTGCTGTCAATCAGTGAGAGGTTTGCCTGTTCCAATCACCCCTTGAATGAACTCAGGAATATTAATTCACACAAGCAATTTGGCTGTTTCTATAGTCAGCTTGGAGTAGAGGTTCTTCCGGAACACTATTGTAAAAGTACACATTTAAAAAAGTGACTCTATTAGCTGCTTTTAAACAGTTTTTTTTAATCAGCCTGATTTCTACTGATTTAAATCTGGATGCAGCTGGTTTTATTAGTTTGGAATCCCTTCTGTGAAGTGATAAGGCAATTCAGAAATGTTAGAAATAAAGTTCAGCCAGCCAGCATAACATTCTAGTCACCTTCCTCCTTAGCTGAACAAAGGGCCTATATCTTTGCTCTTGTTTTCTGCCTTTGTCATCCTGCACATTTGATCAGAACTGAAATGTGCCCAATGCTTGTTTTCTAAAAGATGAGTGAAAACTGTATTTCAAAGGCTTAGACTTCAAAAACCCACCCATGAACTCAGCAGCTGCCATGTGATCATGAACACATGGAGTTGAACCAAATATAAAATCTGTTGCAGGTGGAAGCAGTGTTGTATGCCCTCTTTGCTAAATCCAAGTGTGTGTATTTTTACTCTCAGTGAGCTATTTTCTGCTTTCAAGGCTGGAGAGAATGAACTTGCAGGATTATGAAACTTCAGTTGGTAGAAAATAAGGAAGTTGCAGATTTTAGATACATTGATGGCATGGAATAAAATAGGTGGGGTTATAAAGTTTTAGTAACCAGAATCACACATAATTTGTCACTTTTCAGTGTATGTACATTTAGGTACAGTATCTGAAATTACTACCATGTCATGTTTGAAATCAATTGTTGACAGTGATTTCTTAAATGAACATGGCAATATTTAAAACTTCCCATATTGCCTTGGTTAATGTGCCAATCACAATTAATCACAGGAGATTAGCTATTCTAGAATAAATAAACCCAGACTACTTTTGCAGAATGGAACGCAGGTGAGGAACGAGCACAGAAGCTAGACTTAGCTTTGTAGCCAGTCAGTCTGTCACTGGGAATTACCATCATCTTTTCCATTCTCCCTGCTTCTGAATTCACTGCGGGTAGTAAACAATTGGGCTTCTACTAATGCAGTTTTTGTTAGATTCAAATTGAATATGAAATGCTGGATGACATTATAAATGAATCTCCTGAGCTGCTGCACTAGAATTCAAGGCCCTCTGTGTCTTAATTATTCAAGCATTCTGTACATTCATATATTTTGATATGAATGCCATCAAATTATTGTTCTTTTCTTTCCAGCCAAATGAAAGCTTGTCCTCCTGTTGGCTGTTTGAAGGAGATACATCTTCCTTAATTCTGTTTTGTTCAAAAAGGAATGTGACAGAATATATATTAAAAATGAGTAACAATTTTCTTTGTAAATATGAGGTTATGTCCAGCAACTATGGAAAAGTTATTAGAACCATTACAGTTACAGAAATTACAGATGTCTTTCAAAACAATAACATTTCTAACTTTGCATATATAAGAGGCCTGTGCAAATTGTGATGCAGTGGTTTTTCTTTCTTTCTTTTTTTTTAACAGAGAAGGCAAATTGCCAAGGGAGGGCCTTGCTCAGACACTTTACTTCAATGGAAGTAACCTCTGTGCATACACAGGAGCCATTCCATCCCACTAGTTCGAAGTGGGGGCTCCAGCACTTAGTAGAGAATCTTCATTAAAGTGAATCCTCAGTTCAAAGATATATATAGCCCTAAGAGGTTACACATAATTCTGTTTCTGCTTTCTGTTGACTTGTAATATTTGGCATTTCACCTGAATTAATGCCCCTCTATTGGTGACAAAGCTGAAGGAAACAGTGTGGCACTGCTTGATTAGGCAGCAAGCTAAAATAGCAATTAATAACCCTTCGGGAATAGGTGAATATGTGTTGGTGGGAAAAATACTTGGGTTGGGGAAAAGAAGAGTAGATAAATGACATTAGAGAATAGTGGGACTAGTACTGAAGGCTGGAGGGAACTGGGGGAACAAGGTCAGGAGAAGACTTGGTAGATCTCAGAGAAGTAGAGCAGAAGCAAGATCAGTCAGCAGGGGCTAGAGGCATGTCCACTAAGATAGCCACAGGACCCAAAAGCTCCACTGAAGCTGAGATCAAAGAGGTTGGCTCCTGACTGTGCCTCAGCAAAAAATCGTCATTTCATGCTATGAATAAACTGTTAACAGAAACTGCAAATCTGTAGAAGCTGAAGAAAGAAAATCCACTTTCATGTAATGAACTGTAAAAAATGATGGCCTGAAAAATCTTTATTTCGAAGACACGGCTTGAAATGGAAGGTAGGCCATGAATTTAAGATCACAGGAATATTATCAATATGTAGATTTAATTGCTTTTTACCAGTCCATTGGAGAGTAGAGTCTTTCATTCTTCTTCTACATGTTCAGATTAACTTGATCATAGATCCTCATGAATTCAACTATATTAAACTTCTGGGGTACAGAGGTGACAAAGAATACTTTTGATGGTTATGTCAGTACCATATGTTAAAAATTAAGAACAAAAATAATAAGATTATTATATTACAATAATATATTATAAATATATGAAGTATATGTTTCACATTCATTTCAAAGGATTCATAACTGAGGAAATAATGGAGAACAAAGTACTTATGGGGAAAGGGGTGACCTACCCACAGAACTAACCTAGTATTTAACTTAGGTTTTTGCTCTTATTCTCTAACAAGTCATTGGTTTTTTTACACACCATGCCTTCCTGTCCGTTTTAATAAATACAGGCATATGGTATCTGGGTTACAAAAATCCAAGGAACCACTAGATGGCAGTGAAGAGTCATTCATTCATTCATTCATTCATTCATTCATTCATTCATTCATTCATCCATTTACGGTATTTACTAAGGCTTCTATGCTGATCAGTTCCCCTAAGCTCTAAGTTGTCTACATAACACCAAATCATTGGTTTAAAAATATCCAAAATAGATGTACCAATCAAACAATGAATGTATGTACAATGATCATATCACATCTAGGTTTAGGCTACATGCCCATATCCATAAATGCATTCCTGAAGAGCCAGATTTTTATGGCTCTTTGGAAGCCCAATAATGTAGAGGTGAACTGACTATCAGGGGTAAACTGTTCTATAGAACTGGGGGCATCACTGAGAAAGCTTGTCTCCAGGCATTCCCTCAAAGAAGGGACTCTCAGAAGCCCACTTTCCCTGCTTTCACTGGCTTTGCAGATTCAATCCAAAGAAGGTGGTCTTGAAGGTATCTGGGCCTTAAGCCATGACGGACTTTAAAGGTAACAACCAGTATCTTGAATTGCACCCAGAAGCTAACTGGCTAAATGGCTAATGCAGCTCCCCAAATAGTAGTGGTACATGGGCAAATTTTGATCTGCCCATAACAACATAGGCAGCTGCATGCTACATCACTTGAAGCTTCCAAATGGTCTTCAAGAGCAGCCCCATGTACAGTGAATTGCAATAGTCTAGCCACAAGGTGATGAGGACATGAGTGACCATGCACAAAGGTCCCTGATCCAGAAATGTCTGCAACTGGAACACAAGATGTAATTGTGCAAAGGCTACACTCTCCACCTGCTGTACTAGCAGGAGCTGCAAGTCAAGAACTGTGATGAAATGTGAGGGTGACCTTGGAAAACAGGGGGGAAGAGATGCTGCCTAGGGAAGAGTCTGCAACAGAGAGATTTGTTCTTTCAGACTTGCAAGATGTGTTAATGTAGCCTTGCAATAAAGTAGAATTAGCTCATCTAGTCGTGTTTCCTGTCTGGTTTACTTGGGAGGGCTGAAAAGAATACCCAAACTGTGAGCTAACTCCATATAGGAGAGTTCAAGTTTTCTCTGTCTGTTTGCTACTGTCTAGTGGTTCTGGGTTTTTGCAGCTCAGATACAGTACAATATGGGTCCATTCTATAACCGTTTCTTGGATTAACTGCTGGTCTAGCCTCCCCACCTGTTTTCTTCAGCTTTTTGCCTTCACCTCAATATCTAGCTAGATATCATTTTTTTTCTACATCAGAACCTTATTTCTTCTTTCATATTTGTTGTCGTTATTTAAGTGTCTTTGTTCTGTTATTCTTTTCCAGCTGTTGGGTTTCTTGAACTGGAAGACTGAGGAGCAGGTGCTTGCTCCTGTTCTGCTCTGAAGGTTGCTAGGGAGAAGGAACTGTTCAATTCCTGCCAAGGAATATGGAAAGTTAGATGGGAGCCCTATGTCAGTGATGACTGTGGCTTAAGATCTCTAATTTTGTCAGTCCACAGAGAGTTTTACTATCCAGTTTTCTGTCTCCAGGATGTCAGATCTCCAGCAACTTGTCTCTGATAGCTAGCTGTTTTCATGCTTTACCATCTTCTAGTCTTTTACTTTCTATAGCTTTTTTCTGTTTGTTGACCACTATTTTATTTTTCTGTTTCCTATACTTGTTTCGCATTTTGGTCTATTTTCCTTTGTCATTTACTATTATGGGAACACCAATTCTTCATCAAGCTCACCCATCCTCACTTTCAAGAAGCATTTAAAGATTAATCTCAAGCATTTTTCACACTATTTGCTTCCTCATTTCTCAGCCATGCCCTGGTGAGTTATATCCCTTGTCAGAAGTAAGTAAATAAGGTTATTGTTGTAACCACAGGTCATAACATATCTCTTGTCAAAATGGGAATTTGCAAGTAGTCCTCATAGTCTATTTAAGGAGATTAATTAATCTCCTTAAAAACTTACATTAATTCAAAGTATATATTCCACCAACTGCATCATAAGATTCATATATGGTTCTTACCTTGCTGCACGAAGGAGCCATAGACAAACCACATGGAGTTGTAGAGTGTTGTTGAAGTCATTGATCCCATTTGAAGCCGTGGAGGATTTAGCCAGTTGAGAAGATATACCAAGAGTCCTACAAGTAGCACTGTGCCAGCTATGCAAGCCCAGAGGGAGAGGTCAAATGGTGCCAAACAAGCAAACATATCCATGGTCTTTTCAGCCTTTTGTAGCAACACTCCCACTGAGTAGTCCATGTAGCGAGTTGTAAAATCAACTACATTTTCCCGGTCTGGTGTAATAGTTAATGCAGAAATGCCTATATCAGCTCTCTAAAGGAAAAGAGACAGAGAATTCATTTCCCTTAGCAAGAGAAAAATAGCATCACTTCCATCTGATTTACAGCCTCTGAAACCTCTCTTGGAAAAACAGTTGCCAAGTTTTGCTTATCTTGTAGTTTGTGTGTATCAACCCAGGGAGCCAACAGGTAGAAAACAGATACAAAGTTGACTATGAACAGCAAGACAGATTCATGGAGGTAATGTGAAAAAGAATATATTTCAAATAAAGATAGCTGCTAGAAGAATTTGGATGCCTATTTATTTTGGAATTTTTTATGACACCGAAACTACTTACTGAAAAAATGAGAAGTTCCTTTTGATAGTCTGCTGATTATTACTTTTGTCCAGTTAAAAAATTATAGTGGACTTCTCTTATTAGTTTTATAATACATTTGCATATCACCAACACCTCCGTTTACATGCCCCTTAGACATACTGCAAAAATGTGAAATATACTACAGTTCGACAAACAAAATGAAAACTCATTTTTAGAAAGTAAAGTCACTTTTGCCCGTTGTTGTTTTCATTTCCTATTTTATAAGCAATCGCCAGTCCGAAAAGACATAAACACATAAACAGGCTAGCAGTGCTTTGGATTCAAGAGCAAGAGATCTCTTGAAGGGCACAAGGGCACTCCTACAGATCTGCCTGCAGCTTCTTAAACCAAATGCCTCTTTCACCAACATTGCAAGGCATGAGGTAGCTGTACAAGCCTGAAAAAAGATGCCGTTGCTTTTTTGCCTTCGAATCCAAAGCATGGCACAACCCTAATGAACAATGTGACCCAATCAGTTCCCAAAGACATGGTCTTTGTGAAGGCATACTTGCATAGACTACTGGGGACATCTCTTGAAGCCACTTGCTAAGCCTTCTAGAGGACATGGCTGCTTTAATGCTTCAAGGAGAGGTGCTTTGCTTGTGCCAATGAAACCTATTTTGTTTTGTATGCATCGTACAGCTGTAGGTCACACAGTTACTAACAGCTTTTCCAAGGTAGAAATGAATTCACCTCTCTAGTGGGTGAAATGAAAGCCAGGGGTGGGACCTTGGGAAAAGGTAGATACATCTTCTTCCAAAAGCCTTTGCACTGCTGCTGTATGTTTCTTTGCTGAGTCCAAGGCTGGAATTGATGCAATCACATGGAGGGGCAGCAAGATAGATATTGGTCCCAGAATCTCTGGGATCCATCTACATGTATAAAAGGGGGCAAGGGGAAGGAAGAAGAATGACTCCCAGTTTATTGCCTTCCTTTATGTGTGGCAGACCACAAAGAAAAATAAGGGTTCATGATTTGAGGTATATAGGGTAGGAGGAAGCAGAATAGATCCTGCCTGAGGCCCTATCACTTGGATAGGGAAGTCTGCTGGGTTCTATTCAGCCCATGGGCCAGGAATCCCCTTATAATAAATTTGAATCTCAGCATCAGATAATGTGAAAGGCCTAAACAGCAACCGTAGCCTGGTGAAGGAGTGTGTGTTTTAATTATAGAAGATTACAACTTCAGTTCAAACATCTCAAGGTAGTCCTTGATCTGCTTCTGAAACCGCTAAACATCACTGTAAACATATGCTTGATAGTCTGATTAGAGATGTGAAGGGCTCGGAGGGCAATATTTCTCTCCCTCTGATTCAGTATGTTCCTTAGTCTTTTTATTTCTGATGGGTGGCACAATTCATATGTGACTCTTACGGAGAAATCCAACATTTGATCTTTGCCCAAAGTAGGTGGCAGCTGTGGCCAGGAAAGCCTTTCCATCTAGTGTGCAGTTGTGCATATTCTGAGAGCAGGAGGCCTTGAGACATCATTCATGCCCTAAGTGCCTCATGACATGCAGGACGACTACAATATACTCTATATAAATCCTCTCTGAGGTTTTTTTTTCCTGGATGTACATGCCTTTTTTCTTTTTCTTTTATTGTTCTTACTTTTCAAATGTAAGGAGAATTGGGACAGTTACAAAATTTTAACCAGATCAGTTGCTTAGATCCAGCAATGATTTTTCTATTTATGTATAGATTTATATAGTTTATGCACTAATATAGCAGAATCTCAATATAATCAAATAGATTTTTGCATATTACAAAATATGATATGCAAGCTAGTGCTGAATCTCCAATACTAAATATCATGAAATTATAGATAGTCTCAACCCTAACATGAACTATTTAAGTTCTAATTGGGTTCATGATTCAGAATACATTATGTAAATACAACGGAAGATTGCACTTAAATCTCTAACTGCATCCTTGATCCATTATGGAAGACTATTCATCATACTTTTGATCTCCCAAAAGACATTTTGATATAAGTATTTTGAAAACTCACACACATACCCCCCCAAAAACCCAAAACAAATGCAGATGAATAGACCTGATTTGATGTTGCAAGAGATTCTGAACCATATTAATTACAACAATCTTCTGTCTTTTACAATGATGGCCGTGATAAAATTTATTCAGTGTTAAAAACAAAACTTTTATTTTATTGCCTTATTCTGGAATATATCCTTGCAATCTGAAAATGCAAAAAAAAAAAAAAGAAAAAAAAAGATAACAATACTTTCTATTTTCAGAGCTTGTTTTCAGGAAAACATATTGTTTTATGGTTTTGGAAATCATGTTCCGGGTTTCTAAATGAAGATTTGATTGAAAACCTTTTAGACCTCTCCGTTATAGAATTAATAATATAGGAGATATAGATCAGAGAAAAATAATTCATTTTGCAATTGTTTTTCTATTTAAATGTTATTCTTTTGCTAGAATCTTACTCATGCATGGAATTTTTTTTATTTAACTGATGCTTTCCTGTTATGGTAAAAGTCCCCCCCCCCTTTTTTAAACCAAATATTGTACTGAGAAAACCAGAATGAGAAAGGGAATTAGTATGGGAGGTAAGAGGTCACCTTTATTTTTATATTTAGTAGAAAATCAAAACAAAGGGGGGGGGAGAAGAGAGAGCCAGTTTGGTGTAGTAGTTAAGGTGTGGCCCAGAAACCAGGAGACTGTGAATTCTAGTCCCACCTTAGGCATGAAAAACTGGTTGGTGACTTTGGGCCAGTCACTCTTTCTCAGCCCAACTCACCTCACAGGGTTGTTGTTGTAGGGAAAATAGGAAGAGGAAGTATTGGTATGTTTGCCGCCTTGAGCTGTACAGGTAGCCCCTGGGTTAAGAATAGTTTAAGGATAGTTAAGAATGGAGCCTACTGCAGCAGAATTTGAATTAAATACACAGTGATTTGAGTTAAATATGCAATGGTTCAAGTTAATTATACAATATTATTATTTATTTATTTATTTATTTATTTATTTATTTATT